AAGTGATTCTTCCACAAGTGTGCACAATGTGCTATGACTAGATGTGGGGGGTAATGCCTGCCACCTCCATGTGGTGCCCCCTGGATACCCCTCACTGGGAAACTAAACGGCAAGCAAGCATGATGAGCACGAATAAAGCTTATGATACGGCCTCATCCGTCGCCCCGGTTAGCAAGGGATGCGTTCAGGAATTAGGTAGAGGTTCCTGTTTGAAAAGTTCACTACCTTCTCCAGTAGCACATGCTAAGCCCACGGGTGAGCCCAGTGCTAATACCACTGCTTTGCAGCTTCCTCCGAGAGCTGGTGAGGTGTCCAAAGGCACAGGCCCTTCCTCTGCAGGAGTCTCTGGTCTCCAGAGACACTCGGGGAGACAGTGTGTCTGGCGCCACTGGAATGTCCAAGAGACAGAGGAGTTTGAGAAAAATGAAGGCCACTGAAGTCAGCGGCGGAGCTATGAGGCCTAGGTCCTTTGATGCAACATCCTCATCCAGTGTGCCAGCCCAAAAAGGTAAGAAGCCCAGAGAAGATGTTGCTCCTGGGAGGAGAGCCCAATCCAAGGAAGTGGTTCCCCTGAGTGGGGATAGCCGAGCTGGAGAGGGGGACCCAACTGGGAACCTCCAATCTGGAGTTTCTTTTGCTTGTGCTGCCAAGTCGACCAAGATTGCTATTGTTGGGAAGGACTTTCCTTTGGACAAGCCTTCTCTGAGAGATTCCAACATCCTCAAGGCAATCTTAGGGCAGACTGACGCCATTCCCAGAGGCGAAAAAATGCCTGAGATCTACAGCAACAACTTACAACTAAGAGGAGCGTTGGTAATACAGTGTAATGAGTACATGGTAGAGTGGATTAGAGGCCACTTTAATGACAGATCCTTGGGCGACCTCATGCTTAAGGTTTTAAGTGCTGATGAGTTACCCAAGCTTCTGAAGGTGGCCTTTAAGACCAGAGAACAATTCTCTGATCAGGACACCTTTTTGTGGCGTCTTCAGAGACTGAGCCCAGAGTGGAAGTCACTGGTGTGGATCGTGGTGTCTTTAAGATTATCCATGATCCTAACAAGAAAAAGGCAGCAGAAGCTCCAACAACAACGGATGTCTTCTCTGTCGAACCTGAAGACCAGGAGGAAATTTATCAGGAGGATGAACCTTGGGAGGCTAATTCCCCTGATTCCAAGGTAAGTTCTATTGGGGCTCTGATTTTTCAGAGCTAGGGTTGGACTCTGGGTCAGACGTAACTTTACAACCTGACTCACCAGCTTCTATGACTGGTATTGATGAAGCAATAGAGCTGTTAGAGGGAGATCTTTATTCTAAAGTTAACCAGAGTAGGTAGGTGCCATTCTGGTTTTACTCACATTGCTAACCAATTGTGGCAACAATCAAGGTTGGTCAAATTAATCTCCATCATAGCATTGCTACCGCTAACCTAATGGCTAAATGATGGAGAACTAGATATTGCTTTTATACAAGAGCCTTGGACACGCAAGGGTAGAATTATGGGTCTCAACTTTAAAGGTTTTAAAATTCTTTATGATATCTGTTGTGATCTTCCCAGGGCCTGCATAATGGCTAGGTCTAATCTAAATGCTCTTAATCTTCTCAACAGGGATTTAGTTGCTGTTAAGCTAAAATTCTATGACAATGAGACAATTTCTGACCTGTTATTGTTTCTGCCTATCTCCCCTATGGGAAGAAAGACCCATTGGCTGATATTACTGAGGCTATAATTGGCCACTGTAGTTCGAGCTGTAGATTCATCTTTGGCTGTGATGCAAATGCTCACCACACAGTGTGGGGTAGCAGTGATTGTAACCAGCGGGGAAATGTACTAATGGAACATATCTTATATTTTAACTTGCATGTCCTTAATAAAAGCAATGAGCCTACCTTTGTTACATGTAACAGAAGGGAAGTCATTGACCTTACTTTATGTAACTCAATTTCTACAGATTACGTTACTGATTGGAAGGTATCTGAGGCAGTTACTGCTTCAGATAACCAACTAATTACTTTTTCTATTAAAGCCTCTCTGGACTGAAGGTCATAAGGAGGAACCCCAGAACAACTGATTGCGGTTCCCTAAGAGCAGCTCTGGAGAGGAGGATGGGGAGCTTCTCTGGTAAGTACAATAATGCTAATGATGTGGAGTGGACTGTTGACCAAGAGCAACAGATCATACTCGATTCTTATCATATTTCATGTTATGTTACATCTACTAGCTCTCCAAGGTGAGTTCCTTGGTGGTCTTCTGAGCTTAGTAAATTATGTAATAAATGTACAAAGCTATTTAACAGAGCAAAGAAATCTAGAGAAAGGCAGTCCTACTGAAACGCTGTAACTGCCTATAACAAGGCTATCAGAGCATCAAAACGTCGCTCTTGGCACTTTCTGCGATGGTATTAACACTACTTCTGCCACTGCAAATATTACAAAAGACAGATTCTTACAATTTAAATGCCATCCGTCTTACAAACGGAAGATACAGTGAATCAGGGGAAGAGGCTCTTGGAGAACTACTTGAAGCTCACTTTCCTGGATCTCATCCTATAGAGAATGAACATCTTTATGATAATCCTACAACTACTTGCAGTAAGTATGACTGGGAGGCTGCCAAGATGGTGGTCTCCTACGAAAAGGTTGTATGGGCTATCAAATCATTTAAGACCTACAAGTCACCAGGCATGGATGACATCATGCCAATAATGCTTATTCAGGGGGTGAACATACTCGCCCTTATTCTATGTAGGATTTTCCGATCCTGTATAGCATTTGAGTATATACCTAATTCTTGGTGGAATACCAGGGTAATTTGCATACAAAAACCAGATAAGGAAAATTACTTTGAGGCTAAATCATTCAGACCAATTAGCCTCACTTCCTGTTTGTTGAAAGCTATTGAAAAGCTTATTGACAGATACTTTAGAGACACTGTGCTCATAGATAAGTCACTGTCCTCCACACAGCATGCTTATCAACCTGGCAAGTCAACTGACTCTGCTCTTTATGAGCTCTCCTTCATGCTTGAGAAAACTATCTCAGATAAGGAGGTTGCTCTTGTGGTATTTATTGACATTGAAGGTGCGTTTGATAAAGTCCCTGTTGAGACTATCATCAATGCACTTAAAAACAGAGGCAAAAATTCGGTAATCACTAGGTGGATAGCCAATTTGCTATCCTCCAGGTATGTTTGTTCCTCTTTATCGGGTACAAGCATGCCCTCAGGGAGGGGTTTTGTCCCCTATCCTAAGGTGTATGGTTATGGACTCTTCGTTAGTTCGGCTAACTGATCTTGGCAATCCCTGTGTCGGGTATGCTGATGGCATTGTTATTGTTGTCAGAGGCAAGCATGGTAAAACAGTCTCTGATATCATGAATAATGCACTTCTAGAAGTAGCTAGATGGTGCTCTGACTCTGGCTTATCTGTCAACCCTCCAAGATAAGTTTTGTAGCCTTCACAAGAAAAAGGCATCTTGATTTAGGTAATGTATACTACCTAGACTATAAATTGGAACTCACGGAGAAAGTCAAGTTTCTCAGGATGGATATACTCAATGATTATTAGTCCTATTATTACATATGGCGAAATTGTCTGGTGGTCAAGGACTAGATTGAGCTCCGCCAGGTCTAATCTTAAGATTAGACCTGGCGGTCTAATCTTAACCTTTGTAGTCTATTAATAGACTACAAAGAATGATCTGTGTAGCCCTGTCAGGCTATCTTAAGACCACTCCCACAGCTGCTCTTGAGAGCTTACTTGGGCTTCTTCCATTGAACTTACATATTGAAGTTGAAACTCAGACAGGCATAAAGGGTCTTATGTACCTTGGTTTATGGAAAGAGTATTCCAAACACTAATTCTCCTCGGTGGCTTAAAGGCAAATGCCTAATATGGTACACTGATGGTTCAAAGTTTGGTCTCAAATCAGGAGCAGGAATTTATTGCTCCAATGATGGTACCAAACTTCACTTTCCCTTGGGAAGCTATGCCACTGTTTTATAGGCTGAGGTCTATGCCATCATCTTGTGCTGTAAGATATGCTTAGACAAGGGATATCAAAATATGACTATCCGCATCTGTTCTGACAGTCAGGCTGCTCTCCTACCACTGTCAGAGTGTAAATTCACCTCTTTGCTAGTGTGGGAATGCTTTTCTGTCCTCTGTGACCTATCTACTCACAACAGGGTACATCAGCATTGGGTACCTGGACATATGGGTATTCTTGGAAATGAGCTAGCTGATGGAGCAGCACGGGCTGGCTCTAATGCAATTTTCTGGGGCCCTGAACCTGCATTGGGAATTTTTCCCATTTCTTTTAGGACATCTATATTCAAGCTCTATGGCAAAATAGCCCATGAGCAATGGTGCGTCGCTGACAGTCAGAGACAAGCTAAGGAGCTGAATCGTGACTGACAAATTCAGACAAATTAAACTTTGAAGGAGTTGAATGAATGAATTTTTAATGTTTATTTTTGTATAACTTTTTTGTCTTTTGCATAATACCCTTGCATTGAACAAAGAACAATATATCAATGAAGATTATGCTTTACCATTTTCTACAGGTCTAAAAATAGTGCTTGCAGATTGTGCAAATAATATGCTGAAAATGTAGGTAGTTATAGAGTTTTCCCAAATGAGAAATAAACAGTTAATACAAAGATTTTACAGTGAAAAATAATACTTAAATAGCACATTTATAATATTGAAAATATTTAAAATATCTGCAAAAAAGTTTTTTTTTTTTTTTTTTTAGAAAAAAGAAGCAACTAATAAAACTATAAATAACAGGTTGTAGAACAAAAGGTAAGAAAAATGCTTCTGGTTTAATTAATTGCACGCAACTAGAAAATTTTATTACACCGATTGATTATAAGGTCACATGTCAAATTATTAGTTTTATAACAAAATAATAAAAATTGTTGCATAATTCTCCATAATTTCTGAATCGCATAGGCATTTAATTTCACTAAAATGCAATACGTATACATAAAAAATACTTACATGAGCTCGTCGCATGCATTCAATTTCAACATCATGCTTCACAGCTTTCATCAGCAATATTGGATTTGCACTTTCAATACGAGATCCCTAGAAGAAAATAAAACTTTGAAATAAAAAAGAAGGAAAACATTTTTACTAAAATAAATAACAAGAAATAAGTATAGGGAATAGGCTTTAAGGACTTGGAAGAATAAACTTCATCATTTCATAATAGTTTATATTAGAACTTATAAAATATTATAATGTGTTATATGTTAAATATTTGAAGTTTAAAATTAAAGACCATAAACAGACAAATGTTTGGTGTTCTATTGTCTGATGATTGGCCAACCTAGTGATTAAAGTTTAAACAGCTTAAGTTGGGACCCTTTTAAATTCGCCCAAAAAATGGCCCGAATAGCAACATTTAAAAAAATAATAATTTCATACATTTTTTTGTCATTTAGAAATATTTTTGTTCATCTTATTTTCAATAAGTTGAGTCATTACTGAAAAATAATCAAAACTTAGCTGCATTATTGTTCTGGTGTAAAGGTAAAAAAACTTTAATAGAAATGTTTAAGATAATTAAATATTTAGAAATAATTAAAGTAAAAAAAAAACTAACACCTATTAGAAAAAAAAAGCTTTTGTAAAGTTGAAAAAAAAGAAATAGCAAACAAATATCTGCTGTATTCCTAAAAAAAATTTTAATGCTAAAAGTAATATTTTTCGGGGAAAAAATTATCCATAAAACATTAAAAGACATGTATATCAGAAACGGTTTTAAAAATGCAGAACTATCATAAAAATAGCTATAAAAAACAAAGGTACAAAAGTAGAATAGAAAAAATAAAAATCTATCTTGATTTTTGAAATTTTTGAAGTATTACCCTAATTTCACGAAAAAGTGAAGATTAATGTCTAATAGGAATCCTCTTAACTGCCATATCATACTACAAACATAAGTTTTTTGAAAAAGAAAAAAAAAACATTCTTAATTTTTAAACAAAAGATTTAAGGCTAAAAATCACACTGCTGTATTTCTAGAAAACCTTGACCATAAGAGAATATTCATTATATTCATTCATTCCTGTTTATTAGAAACGCTATTTAAAAAATAAAATTAATAAAAAAGTTAGAAAAAGAAAAAATTGATCTTAGTTCCGAAATATAACTTCAATGTTCAGAATTATAGTTTCTATGCTACTAGTTATCTGCCTTACCGCACAAGAAAAAAGTGTCAATAAAAGAATAAAGTCTATTAGAAACACATGCTTTGCTTGAGATAGAGCAGAAAAACAAGCAAAAATGAAACAAAAAAAGTTCTTAATTTTTAAAACATAAAGTGGTAAAAAAAAAACGATGAAATTGATTTGCCTGAAAATAATTTAAAAAAAAAAAGAAAATATCAGCATTACAAAACTCATGGTTCAATACTAAGTAATCTATGTTCAATTTTTCAAATTTCGTTTTTCCAATTATGTTTCAGAACATAAGTTAACAAGTTTAAGAACTTAACAAGTATGAATAAAAACTATTTATAATAATCTATTGCAAAAAATACGATTTTAAATTATTCTTCATTAAATCTAATAAAATTTCCTTAAAAAACTTTGTCAAAAATAATTTTCCAAGTGAAACTTTGACGAATATCTAGCCAAGTGAATATTCGTCTAAAGGGGCAAATACCCAATCATGGCCAAATATGCTTTACATCCCTATTGTAAATTATTTAACACTTTTTAACACATATACCTAATTTATGTGAGTAACTACAGATGAAAAATATTCTTAAGTAATCCAGATATAAAATATACATACATTTTATAAATACTTTATAAGTACTATATGTATTTTATAAATATATATAAATATTTGATACCACTGTCCCATTGTGCACTGAAAAATATGAATTCAATTAAATATTTTTACCATTTCACTTAAAAAGAGGAAAATCTAATTGCAAAGAGCAGATGTGCCAACCTGGGAAAATGAAAAAAGAGGAGGCTTTCGTAAGGAAGAGAGAAATGATCATGCAACAGTTAAACATGCAAAATAAGACACAAAAGTTTTTAAAAAAATTGTAAATAACAACACTTTAGTCTTAAGGGAGACTTTATTTAGTACATAAAGAATAATTAAAATAGTTATTCATATTGTTAAAATCATATATCAAAATTAAACAACTGTCAATATTAATATCTATAATGCTGAATAGCAACAACAGGATGTAAATTTATGTAGTTAATCCATAAAAAGATTCAAGCTAGTGATCGTTCATTTAAAAATAAATGGGCTAAACTATGTTATTTTTAAAAAATATAATAAATAAAGTTTAGGAAACTAAATCAATACCTTTCTTGAAATGGAAAATTAGAAACTTCATTTTTAATAAAAAATATTTTAGATTAGAGATCAAAATTTTTAAGGAATTATAAAATAACAATTGGTAAATAAAATTTTAGTTATTATTATTATGATTGACAGTGGCTGTTTTAGCTCTTTTTAAAAATTCATCATCAAACTTCTGCTTATAACAGGGTTCTGAAATTCTAGATTTCACAGTGATTAAGTTCTCCAAGCAGTGCCGGATTAAGACCTCTTGAGGCCCTAAGCACTGAAAATATTTTGGTGCCCCCTCCTCAACAAATCAAATATATCTAGTACTAAGTCACGAGTTAATTCAAAATATAAAATCAAAACTTTTTGTAAAAAAAAGTATTTATTCAAATTAAATAAAAAAATTAAAATAGAATCAATTGAAAACTTTTCAATAAATATTAAAAAAATAACTTATGTTTGTGTGTATGTACAATGTGTAAAAAAGCAAACACTTTGAATAACTTATGATCGAAAGTTTGAACTTTTATATACTAAGACTCAAAATACTTTAAATTAAAAAAACAGACAAGTACTTTTTCTAAAAAAAGCATGCCTTTTTTTTCGATTGATTCGAATTCTTGACTCTCGAAATAAATAGCCATATGTCGAGAATTTTTCAACCCAACTAAAACATTTTAGCTCACAATAATAAAATTCATTTACCTAAAAATAGTTCATTCTAAAAATAATTTTTAAGAAGTATTAATCATTTTATATTATTTTATTTATTAACAGAATAGTCGAAAGAACTTTAAATTGAAAATTTGAACAAATGTCATTTTGAATGACAAAATACAAAATTTAATGTGTACTAAATCAATCAAATAAACCTTAATTATTCAATTTTAAAAAAGTTATATATTTAACATTTAATTTCTCAAGAACTTTTCGACAGATTTCGTTCAAATTTTATATTTTACCATTTAAATAAATATTCTTTAAAATTATATAAAAATTTGCATATTTTTAAATTAAAAATTGTTCCGACCATTAATAATAAATAATTTTAAAAAAAANAATCAATTGGTTACGCTTGTCTTATCCTTAAAGTGTTTCTTCTCAGAAAATTTAGCTTTGTATTCTAACACATATGTTGGTGACAATCACGGTGGTCCTTTTCAGGAACCTTCGAATTCATGGAATCGAATGCTGGCAACATACAGATTTTGTTGTTTTACTGGATTGTTTGTTATAGGCAGAAAGCAAGATCAGGTTAAATTGAACCACGTTTCCCAGAAGTCTATTACTTATAATAAAATAACAGGGAACAACAATATTTTTCCCACTCGTTTATGCAGAATGACCAATTTTTATTTTAAGAAAAAATTAATGGATAATGGAAATACCTTAACTAATTATTTATTTATTTCAATCTGATTTACACACGAGCTACAAGTAAAAATTAAGCACAACTATTAAAATTTATTTTAGTGACGGAAATAATATTATTATGTTCAAAATATTTACATGTTCAAATTATCATCATAATAAAAGTTGATGAAATTACACACATATATTGTATATATATATAATCATTATCATTAAGGATTTTCCTTATTAGTTATTAAACATATTTTAAAATTCAATTAATAAAAATATCTTTCTTAAATTTGCTATTTATTTTTAATTTGAAATTTTCAGTACTTTTCTTATTTCTTAATTATAATTTTTACAAATTTCGTTATAAGATGCACAAAATATAGTTTACTTGCACTAAACAAAATTCAATGATTGAAAATTTGATTTTATTGCTACTTATTTCTTACATTTGCTTTCAAAATTAAATTAGTTTTAATGGATACTCTTCTTAACGTATTTTTCAATTTCAACGAACATCCGGTTCACATTGAGAATTTACACATTTTTTTTGCTCAACTTTTATAACATTTGTATTTATACAAGACTCTAAGGACTAAAGAATCCATAATTCTTTCCTTATTCAAAAACTAGTTGCTAGCATTCATATTACGTAGTATATATTTTAAATCTTAAAATCTAATTTCGTTATTCGATATATATAGATAAAAGAAATCATAAGTGATGCGAAGTGTGTGGTCATATTTTTCCTAAATTTAACCTCTCCTCCACAAAGAAATTTCGAAAAATGATACTTAAACACAGCTCCTTTTTCTTAATTTAGTGAATAAAAAAAATTATTTGACGTAAATTTTTGAAATAGATTTTTGCAACACAACCTTTACGTAATTTGATGACTTCTTTTCCAGTTGCAATGAGAATATAATTAAAAATATAGTATAAGCAAATATTTTATGTAGTATAAACAAAAACATGCGCAGAAACTGCAAAGATGCACAACATAGATTGTTTTTTCACATCAAAAATCACATTTTTTACATCATCAAACCATTGCATCAAAATTTTGTAAATCAAATTTTTTTTCATAAAAATATATCAAATTTCTGGAGTATTAACTTCTACAACTGCGAAAATATTCTGTAAACATGAATCGTAGCAGTATGTTATGGAATCATTGTAATGGATAAATAAATAGAGCTTTTATCGCATAGAAATTCACTACCTAATTTAATTATATGACCGAAAATTTTTGATACAAAACATCTTTTTTTTTTTTTTTTTTTTTATTATGTGAAATTTCGTACTTAGAAATGGTTGTTATCTACTCTTAAAATGGAAGCTCAAAATAATAAATTTATTATCAATGTTCCAAAAAAAAAAAAATTTACTGCGAACATTTAGTTAGG